TCACCGTGTTAGCCAGGATGGTCTCGATCTCCTGAACTCGTGATCCGCCCGTCTCGGCCTCCCAAAGTGCTGGGATTACAGGCTTGAGCCACCGCGCCCGGCCGAGAAACTGTTCTTTTAAGCGTATTTGATTGTATTATTATTTTTTTGAGACAGGCTCTCACTCTGTTACCCAGGCTAGGGTGCAGTGATGTAATCTCAGCTCACTGCAACTTCCACCTCCTGGGTTCAAGAGACTCTTGTGCTTCAGCCTCCTGAGTAGGTGGGATTACAAGTGCGCGCCACCATACCCAGCTAATTTTTGCATTTTTAGTAGAGATGAGACTTTGCCATGTTGGGCAGGCTGATCTCGAACTCTTGGCCTCAGGTGATCTGCCTGCCTCAGCCTCCCAAAGTGCTGGGATTACAGGTGGGAGCCACCATGCCCAGTCTCTTTTATATTTGTATTTAATCCAGGCTAGGCTGGGTATGGTGGCTCATGTTGGTATCCCAGCACTTTGGGAGGCTGAGGCAGGAGAACTGCTTGAGCTCAGGAGTTCAAGACCAGTCTGGGCAACATGGCAAAACTCCGTCACCACAAAAAATGCAAAAAATAGCTGGGCGCAGCAGCGTGCACCTATAGCCCCAGCAACTGAGGAGTTTAATGTGGGAGGATCACATGAGGCTGCAGTGAGCTGTGATGGTGCCACTGTACTCCAGCCTTGGTGACAGAGTGAGACTGTGCCTCAAATAAGTAAGTAAATAAACAAAAATTAAAAAGAATCCAGTCCACAGGGCATTTGAAGGCCAGAGGAAAAGATGCCAGAATCAGAGATGGGGAGAAGCTGGGCTTCTGGCAGCTGCTGAGGTTGAGAAATGAGACAGATAGGCTGGGTGTGGCGGTGGAGAGAGGGTGGGCAGAGAGACTGAGGCTGGTCTGAATGGAAATGAAATGTTAGGGCTCTCAGGGTTATCGGGGGATGATTGGAGCTTCTAGAAAAGGTTTAACATTGTGACCACCTGTGTTCGTCATGCCTCGCCACCCCTTAGTAATTATGTGAATTTGGGCAGACTTTGAGTCTCAGTGTTCTCCTCTGTGAAGTGGGGTCAGCTTATTCCAACTCCTGGGATTGTTGTGTGAATTAAATGGGGTAATGTACAGACAGCACCTGATGCACAGCAGGTGCTTCGAAATTTCAGTTCTGCACCCCTCCAGCAAAGGATATGCACACACCCATGGTGAGTGACAAATCCAGGACGACCTGAACCCAATGTGATAACGTGGATCCTCGCATGCTGGTCATGCTGTCGGCAGACACTTATGGATTCGATTAGTAAAACGGGAAATAAATTATTTAATGCATTTTGCTAAGCGAGAATACTTCAGAACGTATTTTGTGGGGTGGGGCATAATAAAGGGGTCCATAATAAAGGGAAAACGTTTAAGCTCAGGTTCGTGGCACCACTCAACCAAGGTCGACAGTCACACAGTGAGCCAGAGGCCATGCCAGGACTTAAACTAAACCTGTGGCCCCCACAGTGAGGCCATTTCTCTTTCCCCTGAATGGCCTGGGGAAAGGGGGTGGGTGGGCAGAACTTGGCAGTGGCCAGTCCCTCACTTCTGAACCCTGGTTTCCTTCTGCCCCTATCTCTAGGCTTGTATTCATTGACTGAGACAGGGTCTTGCTCTGTCGAACAGGCTGGAGTGCAGTGGCACGATCATGGCTCACTGCAGCCTCAAACTCCTAGGCTCAAATGGTCCTTCCGCCTCCTGTCTCTCGAGTACCTATATCCCTAGGCTTTTAAAACGGCTTCCAGGTATCTGGCTGCCGTCTCAGGCACCCACCTGGGCTTCTGGGCAGGGACTGTCCAGGAAACCTCATCTGTGTGAAGCAGGTGTGGGTGTAGGAAGGCCGCTTGGAAATGAATCAGCACTGTCTCCTGAGTCGTCAGCAGGGCGCCGGAGGGTCTGGCGGACAAGGATGGCAGGAGGCCGGCACTGCAATGACACGCCTTAGCCACCAGAGGGCACGAAGCAGCCGAGCAAAATCCCGCGGGGCCGCTGGTGGAAAATTTCTGGCACCTGGAACCCGGAGAGGGAGTGGACGGAATGTGAGGACCCAGCTTCCTTAGGCTGGGCCGGGGTAGAATCACTGCCTTGGGTGTCCGCAGGGCCTGCCCGTGTCTTGACTACTCTGCCTTTGTAGACAGCTGGAGAGAATGTCAGAGTGGAATTGGGATTGGACACTAGGGGCCATTCCGTACAACTCTCCTGTTCTGCCGTGCGGGAGGGAGTTGCCCAAGGTTACACAGCAAGTTAGTAGCAAATGAATACGATTATCACCAGTCTCAGGAATATGGCCATTTGATGGGCGCAGCCGCAGCCTCAGTTCCTGAGACAGAGACACCTGATTAAGGACAGGCCTCCAGGAGCTGACCCTAGTGACCCGCGGCTCTGCTGCTGTCTCCGTTTTTCTCCCTGGCTTTTCCATCTGACTGACTCTTTGTCTTCTTTGTCTGCCTCCTGTCTCCGTCCCTGCCCGCTGGGGGGTTTGCTCAACTCCCTCACTGGGTCCTGGGAGCCGCGTTTCCTGCTGTCACTCCTCGGGGATTTGTAGCTCTCTGAAGCTCTTTTCCGACCCGTTGTCTCGGTTCCACTCTTGGGATCCAGAGGAGAGGTGATTATTTCGTAGCCTAGTCAGTGGTGTGATTTCACGGGGTGAGAAGGACTCCCTGGCTCCTAAGCACTCCTCCAGTGACCCCTGTTGCCATGCGGTAGACATAAACACTGGTTGGCACCTGGTGCGGGCGAGACCCTTACCTCATGCAGAAATGAGTAAGACCGGTGAGCTCACTATGTGGGGGTGAGGCTGAGAGAAAACAAGTACACAAGTGATTCAGTCAAAATCAGAATGCTCTAAGTACACACGAGAAGGGCAAAAGGGGTGCTTTGTACAGGACAGAACAGGTAGAGACTGAATCCGGTTGGGCCCTGGGAAGGCTCCCTGCAGTGGGTGGCATTTCACTGGCCTTTGAAGGGTGAGTGGGGTTTCAGCAGGATAGAGGGCGTGGGCATGTGTGGGCACGTTCTGAGCAAGGGGTCAGCACAAGCCAAGGGTCTTGGTCACACTAGTTGCATATGCTGGTGTGTTTAAGGGACACGCAGGAGCAGGCCGAGTCTGAAGCGCCTCACTGCCAGGCTTTAAAAAAATTTTTAATTTTAATTCATTTTATTGTTACTTTAAGTTCTGGAATACATGTGCAGAACGTGGTTTGTTATATAGGTATACATGTGCCATGGTGGTTTGCTGCACCTATCAACCCGTCATCTAGGTTTTAAGCCCCGCATGCATTAGGTATTTGTCCTAATGCTCTCCCTCCCCTTGCCCCCATCCCTCTCCCCCCAACCGCCCACAGGCCCTGGTATGTGGTGTTCCCTTCCCTGTGTCCACGTGTTCTCATTGTTCAACTCCCACTTATGAGTGAGAACACACTGCCTGGCTTTAAGGGACAGCCATGGGGATGCACTGCAGTTTCTGAGCAGGGAGGGCCCTGCGGAGGCCCTCAGTTAAAAGCAAAGAATGGCTGTGAAAAGCGATGCATTGCGCTCCCTTGTCCCTCACCCTCAGTGTGAAGGGTTTTTATTTTGAGTCCTACTTGAAGTAGGCTTCGGTGGGAAGACAAGTAGCATGAGGGGTTCAAGTGCCGAGGGCAGCAAGGGACACTGGGTGACTGTGTCAAGGTGTAGAAGAGGACACTGGGGGCCCCAAGGCCTGACTTCATGTACACTGCTCAGGCTCGCACCCAAGTGGCACGGTGACCGCCAGGAAGGGACCAGCCTGTTCTCAGTCTGATCCTCCTGCCGTGTCATTATCCAAAGCTCCTCCTGGCAGGGCCGGTTTAGGGTCTCCGTGCCAGTGCTTTCCCTGCCAGCCTGGGCTGGGGCTTCCACCTACTGCTCTGGGACTGCTGCTGCCCTGGCCCTGGGGGAGGAGGGTGGTGCCGCTGAGTCACTGCCTGGGCATCTGGGCCTGGAACCTCGGGTGAGTCACTGAGGGCTGGGGCAGAGGGGCTGGGGGAGGGGAAGAAGCTGCTTGACATCTGGAGCAGGGAGGGGAGCTGGGCCACAGGAAGGGCGGTGCCCTGATGCCCAGACTGGGGTTGGGATAGACAAAGGGCCAAGGAGGAAGGGGCCCTGGGAGGGGGCAGCCCTCCCTTGGGCCGGGCTCTGAATGGCCACAGTGTTTGCCTTTCTCCAGGTCTGGGGAGGACATGTGTGTGGGGGCAGTGAGAGAGGGCTATGGCTGGGAGCTCTGCTTCAGGCCTGGACCCTGGCTTGGGAAGCTGTCTGGCTGGTATTTTCAGCCCTAAGTAGGGATGTACCCCTACCCACCCACCCAGCCCTCAAGCTGGAGAAGAGGAGGCCAAAGTTTTCCTATTCACCCTTTAACAGCTCGGGACTTCCTTAAACTCCCCACAGACTGTTACCCAGCCCAGCTGGGGCTGTGTGCAGAGCAGCCCCATTTCTCCCTGCTTCCCCATCCTTCCAGACCCCTTCCTACACAGAGGGACCTTCCGAGGTATTTCTAAGCACACTTAGTTACTTCATTACCTCATTAAGAGGTATTCTGGTGCTGGCCATTAAAATTAACTCCACTTCATTCATGTCCTGAAGTCAGTCCTGTCCTTCTTCTCCTGATGTCCCCCAGCTGCCTCCTCTGGCCCCCAGCTTCCTAAGGGTGGCCCCAGGTTGCTTCTGTCTCTCACACACAGGCACATGTATGCACATGAGCACCCGGCCGTGAAGGCCCAGCATGTGCCCGCAGCCTCTCACACAGGAGTGGGCTGTTACTCACAAGCATGTCATGAGAATGAGGCCTGGCACCAGTCTCCAGGCCCCAGAGCAGGGTTGCCTCCCCTCACCCCTGGCCCAGGCTGCCCAGTCCCCATGACACCTCCCACTTCCTACTGTGGCCTGGGTGGGCTCAGGGGCTGCCCTTGACCTGGCCTAGAGCCCTCCCCGAGCTGGTGGTGGGGCTGGCACTCTCTGGGAGGGAGGGGGCTGGGAGGAAATGAGTGGGAATGGCAAGAGGCCAGGGTTTGGTGGGATCAGGTTGAGGCAGGTTTGGTTTCCTTAAAAAGCCAAGTTGGGGGCCAGTGGGGCCTGCGTATAAATCCTCACCCTGGGAGCCTGGCTGCCTTGCTCTCCTTCCTGGGTCTCTCTCTCTGCCACCTGGTCTGGTGAGTACCTCTGTCCTGCTGAGGGCAGGGTGGGGAGGACCCCCGTGGGTCTCTGTCTCCACAGTTCTCTCATTCCAGCTTCCCTGGTGGGATCAGCCTGGGCCTCTCTGGGCCTTCCCCCTTGGAAGAACCCTTTGTGAAGTGTTGACTGAAGGGTTTTTCTCCAGTTTCCTCTGTGAGGTCTCAGTGCAGCGGTTGCTCTGAGGCCCTCCTCTGGATATCCCAGTCTAGGGGCCCTTCTTTGGGGGTCTAGGCCTAGAAGCAGGAGGTGTACATGTGGGTGGTGCTACAGTAAGAATCCTGAGGTTGTTTTTTTTTTTTTTTTTTCAAAGTCCCGGCTTCTAGCAAGACTAAGGAGCAAAAGGCAGGGGTCTCAAGTGCAAGACTCTGCCTGGGTCATGGTCCCGAGCAGCAAAGCTCTGCCCCCTGCCTTGGTGAAGGCAGGGCCGGCAGGATGGGCCCAGGGCTTGCCCTGCCTCTGGCATAGCTCCTCAGGCCTCACCCTGAAACCTGCCTAACCTTTCCAGGCTGGTCTGAGTATTCTCAGAGGCCTTGCTGCTGAGGTCTGTTCCATCCTGATCCCAAGGCAATGAACATTTCATATCTTTAATTCTAATTCCAACAGGATCCTTCCTGGTGGAGAGGATGTTAAGTTGCCCCCACCCTACCCATGCCCCTCTCTGCATAAAGGCTCAGGGGCCTTCAGGGTGAGGGGAGACACATTCCCCAGCCTCTGGGAGCTCCTAGTCTGAGAGAGGAAACGCCCCTGCCCAGGGGAGCTTCCAGTTAGATGGCAGAGAGAGACGCCTCTGGCTTCAGGAGCCCCGAGTCTGAGGATGGAAATGACTCCTTCAGGGAGCTTCCTGCTCCTAGGTGTAGCTATGGCTCCTGCCAGACCGCACAGGAGCCCCCATCTGCCAGCTGGTGCATGTGGCCCTGCTCCCCAGCGCCTGGGCAGATGCCGTCAAAATGGGGCTCTGGTCACCCTGTCATTTCCCTTCTGGCAGACACTCAAGCGGGGAGCCCTGCCCTCAGGGGGATGGCCCAAGTGCCATCAGAGGAGGCTTCGGGCCCTGCCATTGGTGACTCCCAGACACAAGGGAAGCTTTAGTATCTGCCCTCAGGGGGCGGCGGAAGTATGGCCCCCGGCCTCAGGGAACCACAGTCTGAGGGGGACATGCTCCCTGCCTTCCCATTCAGAGAGGGATTTTGGGAGGTGGCTTGGGGGCACAGGGCAGAAGTGGATCCTGCAGGCCGAGCTAAGGCCCCAAGAACCTCAGCAGTGTACCCATCACCTGGCACCTCTGCAGCCACAGATCCATGATGTGCAGTTCCCTGGAGCAGGCGCTGGTTGTGCTGGTCACTACCTTCCACAAGTACTCCTGTCAAGAGGGCGACAAGTTCAAGCTGAGTAAGGGGGAGATGAAGGAACTTCTGCAAAAGGAGCTGCCCAGCTTTGTGGGGGTGAGTGGCACAGGCCTCTGGGGGAGGTCCTGGTGTGAGTGTGGGGGTGCAGGTTAAATCTCTCCCCCAGTTCCGGGTGCCTATCGATGCAGGTACCAGGGTGGGGCCCAGCCCTCTCTCCACTTTTGCTTCATGGCTCCACTGGAGAGGAAATGAGGCCAAGTGGGAGTGCTTTACCAATGGCTGTTTCCTGCAGCATTCCAGAGAACCGTGTGCTGTGAGGGCCTTCAGGGTCCATCTGTCTAATCCTGTTATTGGAAACTTCAGAAACCAGAGCCCAGAAGGGAAAAGTGATTGTCCCAAGATCACACAGTACTAGCACGTTCTCTCTCCCTTTTTCCTTTTTCCTTTTTTTTTTTTTTTTTTGAGACGGAGTTTCACTCTTGTTGCCCAGGCTGGAGTGCAATGGCACGATCTCGGCTCACTACAACCTGTGCCTCCAGGGGTCAAGCGATTCTCCTGTCTCAGCCTCTTGAGTAACTGGGACTAAGGCGCATGCCACCACGCCCAGCTATGTTTTTTTTTTTTTTTGAGACAGATTTCGCTTTTGTCGCCCAGGCTGGGTGCAGTGGCCGCGAATCTCAGCTCACTGCAAGCCTCCACCTCCCAGATTCACTAGCCATTCCCTGCCCAGCCTCCAAGTAGCTGGGACTACAGTGCCACGCGTACCATACCTGGGCAATATTTTGTGTATTTTCAGTAAGACGGTGTTTTCCACCCTGTTAGCCCGATGGTCTTCGATCTCCTTGACCTTGATCTGCTGCCGTCGGCCTCCCCAAGAGTGCTGGAATTACAGCGTGTGAGCCACCACTGCCTGGCCAAGTTTGTTTTTTTAGTACAGACAGAGTTTACCATATGGCCCAGCTAGGTCCTCAATCTCCTGACTCCAGGCGATACTACCTGCCTTGGCCTCACACAAAGTGATTTTTGTATTTTCAGAGAGATTGGGGATTTCACATATTGTGTCAGCTGGCCTCTGAATCCATGACCTCAGGACGTGCCCTCCATCGGACTCCCTAAAAGTACTGGGCTGACAGCCTGAGCCACTCGGTCCAGACTCCTTTTTTTTTTTTTTTTTTTTTTTAATGGTGGGGACAAGTAGCCCCTCACTCTGTCACCCAGCTGGATCCATGCTCACTGTAACCCTCAAAACTCTTGGGTGTGAGACATCCTCCCAATATGGGACTACAGAGTATGCCCCCATGTCTGCAATTTTATTTGTGAATGGTCGTGCTAGTTGTCCAGGCTGGCTTGAACCTCCTAGGTCAAAAGCAATCCTCCACCTCGGCTCCCAAGTATTGGAATCACAGATGTGAGCCACTCTACTGACTCCTTTCCATTTATATGCCAACCTACAGAAATTATAGGGAAAGAGAAAAAGCCCCAGCAAGAACTACAGTCTGGAACATTTTGTGGAGAAATGCATCAACCTTCCAATTGTCCCTCACCCCCCTAAATACCTGGACTCATTGGTGATTTCCAAAGTTAGCGTGTCAGAGCTTCTTCAACACATAGGTCAGGTCTTCTTCCTTTTTTTTTTTGTTTTTGTGGTGTAAACTTTCTAATTATTTTTGCTAAGTATTAAAAAAGTGTTTTTCAGCCGGCCCTCGTGGCCACACCTGTGAATCCAGCACTTTGGAAGGCCTAAGGAGCGGATCCGAGGTCAGAATTGAGAACGTCCTGCTAACACGTGAAACCCAATCTCTACTAAAAATAAAAAATTACCGGGCGTGTGGCGCGCCTGTATCCAGCTACATTGGAGGCTGAGCACCGAGAAGGTGTAATAGCAACCCTCCCCGAGGTGGAGGCAAGTGGACCGAGATGCACAACTCGACTCAACCTGGGCGCAACAGAGCCAGACTCTGTCTCAAAAAAAAAAAAAAAAAAAAAAGTGTTTTTCAGCTGGGTGCCATGGCCCAAGCCTGTAATCCCCATACTCTGGGAGGCTAAGGCAGGAGGATCTCTTAAGCCCAGGAGTTCCACCAGTCTGGGCAACATAGCAAGACTCCATCTCTACAAAAATAAAAATTGGCCAGGCTTGGTGGCATACGCTTGTAGTCCCAGCTACTTGGGAGGATTGCGTGAGCCCAGGAGTTCGAGGTTACAGTGAGCTATAATACAGCCTGGGTGACAGAGTGAGATCACTCTGGTTGCCAAGACCAGCCTAGGCAACATAGTGAGACCTTGTCTCTACTAAAAATAAACAATTAGCTGGGTGTGGTGGCATGAGCCTGTGGTTCCAGCTACTTGGGAGGCTGACGTGGGAGGATCACTCGGGCCCAGGAGGTTGAGGCTGCAGCGAGTTGTGATTGTGCCACTGCACTCCAGCCTGGGCAACAGAGCAAGACCTTGTCTTAAAAAGTAAAGTGTTCTTCTTTTCTGAGTCCATCTGGCTGGTGTTGGGGAGCAGCAACCGTCGGTTTCCGCATCAGCAGAAAGGGGTGATGATACCTACCTCGCTGGGCTCCTGTGGGATTCGAGCTGATGCACGCTCAGAGGAGCACCCAGTGTCCTCCCTGTGTCCAGGAGGAGGGCACACTGGAGATGCTCACCAATGAGTATCCGTCTCTCTCCTTACTCACTGGGCCCTCTTAGTAGCTCCCAGGGCCTCCTGCACACCATATACCCAGTTGCCCATTGGGGAGGGAGAGCTGGGAACCAATTTGAGTGTGTGGGGGTCTGGGTGTTTGGTGGAGCTGGGGTTGGGGCTGGCTTGGTGATGAGTGTATTTCCTGTCACTTTCAGGAGAAAGTGGATGAGGAGGGGCTGAAGAAACTGATGGGCAACCTGGATGAGAACAGTGACCAGCAGGTGGACTTCCAGGAGTATGCTGTTTTCCTGGCCCTCATCACTGTCATGTGCAATGACTTCTTCCAGGGCTGCCCAGACCGACCCTGAAGCAGAACTCCTGACTCCTTGCTATGGACCTCTTGGGCCCAGGACTCTCGATGCCTTTGAGTTTTGTATTCAATAAACTTTTTTTGTCTGTTGATAATATTTTAATTGCTCAGTGATGTTCCATAACCTGGCTGGCTCAGCTGGAGTGCTGGGAAATGAGGGCCTCCTGGATCCTGCTGCCTTCTGGGCTCTGACTCTCCTGGAAATCTCTCCAAGGCCAGAGCTGTACTTTAGATCTCAATTTTGGGATTTCAAATACCAGCAAAAATTTGGAAATCGAGATAGGTTGCTGACTTTTATTTTGTCAAATAAAGACATTAAAAAAGGCAATTACCATCTACCATCACTATCATTTCATAAAAAGATAAAATTTCAATTCCAATAAAGGAGAAAAGGTATAAGTTCAGAATAAAGACAGACCTTAACATTTAATACTGCAAGTAATGAGTTGTACCAGGATCTGCTCAAGAGATATGAATTAGTCTAATCAACCTCACAAAGCTTTATTTAAAGGATTCCTTGTCAGACCGAGTGCGGTGGCTCACGCCTATAATCCCAGCACTTTGGGAGGCCAAGGCAGGCAGATCCCTTGAGGCCAGGAGTTTGAGACCAGTCTGGTCAACATGGTGAAACCCCGTCTCTACCAAAAAATACAAAAAATATAGCTGGGTGTGGTGGTGCATTCCTGTAGTCCCAGCTACTCTGGAGGCTGACGCAGGAGAATCGCTTGAACCTGGGAGATGGAGGTTGCAGTGAGCTGAGATCCCGCCACTGGACTCTAGCCTGGGCAACAGAGCAAGATGCTGTCCAAAAAAAAAAAAAAAAAAAAAAAAAAGGATTCATTGTCAGAATACAGGCCATAGGCAGTGCTATGGTTTGAATGTGTTCCCCAAGATTCATGTGTTGGAAACTTTATCTCCAAAGCAACAGTAATTAGCAAGTGATTAGGCCATGAGGGCTCTGCTGTAATGAATGGATTCATGCTGTTATCACAGGAGCGGGTTCCTTACAGAAGGATGAGTTTGTCCCCCCACCTTTTCTTTCTCTTCCTGTCTTTGCCTTTCCACCAGGAGATGATGCAGCAAGAAGACCTTCTCCAGGTGTTACCCCCTGCAGCTTAGACTTCCTGGTCTCCAGAATTGTGAGCCAATAAATATCTGTTTTGTTTTGAATACCAGTCTTTGGTATTCTGTTGTAGCAATACAAAGCGAACCAAGACAGGCCTCATACTGTCAATTGTATTTTTTCAATAATTCCTATATGTGATTGTCATATTCTTTTTTTATTTTTTCGTTTTTTTGAATGGGTTCTTCTGTGCCAGGCCTGAGTGAAAATGCATGATCTTGCCTCCAAAAAAACATGCCATCTTGGCCTCCTGTGTTCAGGTGATTCTGCCTGGCCTCGGACCTCTGAGTAGTGGACTACAGGACGTGCCTTCGCCAAGTAATTTTTATTTTTTAGTAGGTGGTTTCCCATGTTGACAGGTGGTCTGTTCTGACCTATGTGGTGTCCCCCTGCTTTTCAAGTGCTGGGGGTTCAGGATGCTGAGCCACGGGCCGCCTTCCGGCCAAAGCACAAACTTTCTTATCTCTCATGGTTCTGCGGGTAGACTGGGCTTAGTTGGTGGTTCTCACGTGCGGTCTTCCATGCAGTTGTGGATGGAAATCAGAGTTAGAGTAATCCGAATGTTTGAACAAACTCAACATCTATGGTAGCTTGCTTAACATGCATGACAATTGATATCAGATGTGAGCTGGGAGCTCAGCTAGAACTGTCAGCCGGAGTGCTTACCGTGCATGGCCTCTCTATGTGGCTTGGGCTTCTTAGAGCATGGCAGCAGGGTCCTGAGAGGACCAATCTCAAAGTGAGCATTGCATGAGGCCCACATGGAAGCTGGTGGGCTTAAGATTTATTTATTTTAATTTTAATTAAATTAATTAATTTATTTTTGAGACAGGGTTTCATTCTGTCACCCAGGCCCAGGTGCAGTGGCATAATAATGGCTCACTGCAGCCTCCACCTCCCAGGGTCAAGCAATCCTCCTGCCTCAGCCTCCCAAGTGGCTGGGACTACAGGTACACGCCACCATACCTGGTTAATTTTTGCATTTTTTGTAGAGACAGGGGTTCACCAAGTTGCCAAGGCTGTTCTCGAACTCCTGGACTGAAGCGTCCCACCTGCCTTGGTCTCCCAAAGTGCTTGGAATATAGGCACAAGACACCATGCCTGGCACTTCTTAAGATTTATTTCAGAAATCCCAGGACATCATTTCTGCTATATTCTAAAGATTAAAAAAAAAATCATTAAGTCTGGCTCAGATTAAGGAGAGGAGGAGAATTAGACATCTCTCTCTCTTTTTTTTTTTGAGATGGAGTCTCGCTTTGTCACTCAGGTTGGAGTGCAGAGGTGTGATCTTGACTCACTCAACCTCCACCTCCTGGGTTCAAGTGATTCTCCTGCCTCAGCCTCCTGAGTAGCTGGGATTACAGGGGTGTGTCACAAGCCTGGGTAATTTTTGTATTTTCAATAGAGACAGGGGTTCACCATGTTGGTCAGGCTGGTTTTGAACTCTTGACCTCGTGATCTGCCTACCTCGGCCTCCCAAAGTGCTGGGATTACAGGCGTGAGCCACCGCGCCCAGCTAGACATCTTTTAATGTAAAGAGCAGCATGCATAAAATTGACGGTGACCATCTTTGGAGACTAAATACCATAGTCTGTCTTCTAGCAACAGCAATTTACATCCCTCCCATATGCAAAATACACTCATCTCCTTCCCAAGACCCACAAAGTTTCATCTCATTAAGGTATCAATTTGATGTCTCTGATCTTATTATCTGAGACAGGTCCAGAGATATGAATAAGGCTTCTCATGTGCAGTTCCTCCAGGACGGCTCCTCAAAAGTGGCTCCTCTTGGCCTGAAGTCCTGTGAAGAACACAGTCGATGTTCACAGGTGAGATAAAGATAGATAACTGCCATCCAGGCTTATTGGCTCACGCCTGTAATCCCAGCCCTTTGGGAGGCTGAGGTGGGTAGATCACTTGAGCTCAGGATTTAGAGACCAGCCTGGCCAAAGTGGCAAAACCCCGTCTCTACTAAAAATACAAAAATTAGCTTGGCATGGTGGCGTGCACCTGTAATCCCAGCTACTCGGGAGGCTGAGGCAGGAAAATCGCTTGAACCTGGGAGGTGGAGATTGCACTGAGCTGAGATTATACCACCACACTGTCCAGCCTGGGTGACAGAGCAAGACTCTGCTTTTTTTTTTTTTAACACTCCTATTCTTAAGGGTGTGTTGGTGTATTGGAGGCACAAATTGGTGCATTGGTCCATAGCAATTCTGAAATTGAGTCAGACACATGTCACCAGATTCTTGTCTAGGGCTCAGTTCTGCTTGGCTCTTGGTTCTTCTTGGCTCTTGGCTTCTAGGTTCTTGACTTCATTTTCTGAGTTAACTCTCTATTTTCCACAAGAAGTATCTGTGTTGATAGCTAAGTAGCTTTCTCAGCCTAGTTCTTGCCCATTTGAAGTTGAAGACTCAAAAACTTCTTTTGGTTTTAAGCCATCTTTGTCCGTTTTAGTCCAAAATGATATAATTCCTGTAAAAATATGGCCTCACTGTGCATCAACTTATAATTCACTTAATAGACAAAGCCATACCTACAAATCTTTTTAAGATTGGTCTCTCTCCAGCTTGGACTGAGAGTCAGGGTGCTGGGAGTAAATGCCCTTGAGATTCCTAAAAGCCTTCTAGTCTGAAAGAGCCTAAGAGGCACACTTCTAGAATTATTAGACGTTGTATTATTTATCTGAGAAGATCTGGGAAACTTGCCCTTAAATATTTTTGAGGTCTCATTACAAGGTCTTACCTTTGACTTACTTCATCTTTATCCTGAGATCCTTTCTATTGTCAGGGATCTGGATTTGATGTTTGCCCCAAGGCCATTTATTAGTTTGAGAGTCATTTGCTGGCTGGAAAGACTGTACTGGGCCCTCTATATTTCCTTCTAATTCTTTAAGAAGTTGAGTAGTTCCTTCGGTTTTTTTTTTTTTTTAGATGGAGTCTCACTCTGTCGCCCAGGCTAGAGGTGCAGTGGTGTAATCTTGGCCCACTGCAACCTTTGCCTCCTGCGTGAGTAGTTCCTTCTTTAGTTCAACCTTTTTTTTTTTTTTTTGAGACAGAGTCTCGCTCTATTGCCAGGCTGGAGTGCAGTGGCACGACTTGGCTCACTGCAACCTCTGCCTCCCGGGTTCAAGCAGTTCTCTTGCCTCAGTTTCCCTAGTAGCTGGGACTACAGGCATGCACCACAATGCTCAGCTAATTTTTTGTATTTTTAGTAGAGATGGAGTTTCACCATGTTGGCCAGGATGGTCTTGATCTCCTGACCTTGTGGTCCGCCCACCTCGGCCTCCCAAAGTGCTGGGATTACAGGCATGAGCCACCATGTCTGGCCTAGTTCAACTTTCTAGTCTCATATTTTATCATAGGCAGCCAGAAGAAGCCAACTAGTACTTTCACATTCTGCATAAAAATCTCCTTACTCATATCCATAAACTGATTAGGTACCTCTCTGTTTTCCATGTAACCACAGATAACAGTGTTGCCAGACATTCTGCTAATACCTAATAGGATCTCTTTCTTCTAGATTCCAGTAACAATTTCCTCACTGTCCTTCAAATCATTACTAATAATCTTCTAGAGACCCTTCCGGCTTTCACCCATTGCCTGTTCCCAAAGCCAGTGACACCTGTTTCTGTTTTTTTGCAATAGCAGCATCCTACTCTTGTAGGTCTTTGATGAAAGATGCAAGGAACCAGCTCATGCTAACTTTCTAAACTTTTTTCTACCACTTCCTCTATCATTACACCTAGGTTTCTATTTGGTCCATATTGCAAGATATGCCATGGTCTGACCAAATATATTGTCATTTCACAACAAAGGTCCTGACTTTCCAGCCTGACATATTGGGTCATCATATCTCACTACCTTCCTCCCTCTACTTAGCCAAGTTCACATTTTAGATTTTAGAGGTGGAGTTCCACCATATTGGTCAGGCTGGTGTCGAACTCCTGACCTCGTGATTGTCCACCTCGGCCTCCCAAA